CCTTTTCTGACCTCTAGTCGGCCCCACTCACCAGCCTCTGTGCAGTCCCGGAAGCAGGGAGGGACAGGCTGCAGAAGGAGGCCAGGCCTCACCTCCCCCATCTCCACAGATGAGTCTGAGGCCCAAGGGTCTATGTAGGAGCAGGGAAGTGGAGGTGTGGCTACAGCCCCAGATCTCACTTGGACTTTATAGGCATCCTGGGGCAAGGGGGCTTTTGTTCAACCCCATCTTCATATCCCCTTCCCCAAACATGTGTGGTTCCTGTTTTGCTGTATCTGTAAAAGGCGCTGGGAGCTGGGGACCTGCCTTACACCTCTCGGTTAACACCCTGGAGACTGATGGAGTTCAGAGCAGTGTAATTTACAGCCCATCTCTCCAATCTTAATTCACTGGATGCTCCTTTCTTCCTTATTGTATTAGTGTGACCCAGGTACCTGCCAACAATAATGGTCTCTCTAGCTAGGAGCCTCTCCCCTACTCCCAGGACAATTTATACCTTTTCCTTGGGATTTTCCCCCTTAAATTAAACAAAAAGAGGAAAAATAGAGAAGGTTAACACGGGTTTGAAGCACTGAGGCCCCGTGGTTCTGGGCATGGAGCCAATGGCCTGAGGGCACACACATGTGTGTGCTCTCCCAGAAGGGCCTTCACCGGCCCTGTTTTACAGCTACCTCGGCACAGACTCCAGGGTTCACGCATATGGCCAGACAGATGTGTCTGGCTTACGTTCAAGGCTGGAAAATGAAGAATTATGGAAGTGAAGGGCCCCGGGCATTAAAGAGAAGGGGGAGGTAAAAGGGGGAATTTTTCCTCTGCTGAGAAATCCTCCTGTGGCTATGGGGCTGGAGGAAGGAGGTTGACAGGAGGCAGGGCCGCCAACAGCAGTGCATGTGGGGCCTGTTCTTAAAGGGGCCACAGCATCCTCCTCTGAACAAATCTGTGGGACACAGATAGTCAGCGGCCCTGCAGTTATGTCTTATATTAGGCCTCCAGTTGTCAGGACTGCTTACTGCTTGCATGGCCAACCTGGACAGTGTACTGTGGCAGAAGATGGAGCTGCTATGGCATGTGTTCTCACAGCGTCCTTCTCCCATCTCAGGAGGGTCTATGTAGCCCAACCTACATACTTCACCTCATTGTACTGTCCAGCTCTGGCCTTGAACTTACAACCTTCCTGCCTAAGCCTCTTGAGCTTCAATATATATGGTATTACCCAGGCTTGTTTGTACCTAGTCAAAAACAATTTCCTTCTTTCCTTCCTTCCTTCCTTCCTTCCTTCCTTCCTTCCTTCCTTCCTATCTATCATGTGTGGTGGAGGGAGTAGGTGCATGTGTTATAGCATGTATCAGAGGACAACTTTCAGGAGTCAGTTCTCTCCTTCTAACATATGAGTCCTGGAAATTGAACTCGGATTATCACACTTGGTGGGTGATAAGTGCCTTTACCTGCTAAGCCATCTTGCTAGCCCTGTACTTGATCTTTTTTGCTTTTTGAGACAAGATCTCACTATGTAGCTCTAGTTGTTTTGGGATTTGCTATGTAGACTAAGCTGGTCTCAAACTTACAGAGATATCTGCCTGCCTCTGTCTCCTGTATGCTGGTATTAAAGACATCTGTCACCACATCCAGTGATCTTGTAAAAGACCTCATTCACATGCCAAATCACTTGTTCAATAATAGCTTCTCACAGGGCAGTTGGTGGCACACACCTTTAAGTCAAGTTCTCTGGAGTCAGAGGCAGGCGGATTTCTGAGATAGGCCAGCCTGGTCTAATGAGTGAGTTCCAGGACAGCCAGGGCTACACTGAGAAACCCTGTCTCGAAATCAAAAAACAAGCAAGCAAGCAAAAGAATAAACAAACAAAAGAATATCTTCTATACTATATGGTTTGCTCTGAAATGTCATCTCATTTGCCCTTCGACCCCCAGGTTTGTACATCCCAGCCATTAGGAGAGTCAGTGCTCAGAACCACTTGCTAAACTGAGCTGAGAACATTGTCCCTGATTCCTAGGAATTCATAGTACTGTGGGGGGAAAGGCCCACAAATAACTGTAATATGAGACATGATAGCAGTCCTACAAATGAGGTATAAATCAACTGTACAGGAACCCTAGAGCACAGAGACAATAGCCTCCTGGGAGAAATCAGGGAAGGCTTCACTGGGGAGATGGAGTTTCATTGGGGAATGCAGGGAAAATAGAATTTCAACAGGTAACAGGAAACGTGGAACAGAAAAAGAGCCCTTTGGATTGAGAGACAGACTCAACAAAGATCTAAAAGTAGGGAAGGGCAGAGTAGAAGGCAGTGAGTAGAGAGGAAGGTTATGTCACGGTCTGGGCAGGAGTCTTAATGGCTGGAGAGACACTTGATACACTCATCCTAAGGATGTACAGCAGCTATGAGGCAGGTGCTGTGCTGAGTTTACTTTACAGATTTAGAAACATGTTCATAGAAGTTGACCACGTTGCCCAGTGTCCAACTGTTAGGTACTAATGTCTCACAGGGAGGAGACATTTGTGAATGGGACACAAAGGAGGAAAAGCATACTTGGAGTAGATCAGAAGCCTAAGGCTAAGCTTAAGCCTAAGCCTAAGCCTTATTAGAAGAAATTAAGCTTTATCTCACTAGCCAAGCTAGGCAGTGATAGTTTCAGAGCAGAGGAATGGCTGGCTCTCCATGGGATTGTGGGGTCACACAAGCCTTATTAGAAGAAATTAAGCTTTATCTCACTAGCCAAGCTAGGCAGTGATAGTTTCAGAGTAGAGGAATGGCTGGCTCTCCATGGGATTGTGGGGTCACAGTGTGAGTGAACCTGGTGGCAGACTGAGTACTATGTAAGCCCAAGAGGGTCCATTCCCAGATTATAAAGTCAGTGGCACCCTCTGGAGCTATACAATGCAGGAGCCTCGTTGTTATGGTTCAACAAGTCCCTGAACTAGGGTAGAGTGCAATGATACCTAGAGGGAGAGGAGGAGTGAATGAACAAACAGGACATGAGAAGAAACTGGACAGCATGGTTTGTAAAAGGCCATGGTAGAATTTAAGATGATGTTCTACTTGCTACCATCAAAGAAGTCAACCAAAAATTTCTGTTAACTACCAATTCAGCTTGCTAGACTAAAAAACAATAGGAAGGATGGAGGAGTTAAAAAAAATGGTGAAGTAGTCTGGGAAAGTAGCTCTGAGTACCAGAGAAGACGACAGTGTACTTACTGTGTGAAAGGGAGGTTGGAGGAGACAGGCATAAGAACCCAAAGTTATAAAGAAGTTAACTATAATAATGGGGACTATGTTTTGTTTTTGTTTTTTAAGAGTGGGTTTTATGTAGCTCAGGCCAGCTTTGAACTTGTCTTGTAGCTGAGGATGGCTTTGAAATCTTTTTGTTTGTTTGTTTTTCAAGACAGGGTTTCGCTGTGTAGCCCTGGCTGTCCTGGAACTCATTCTGTAGACTAGGCTGGCCTCGAACTCAGAAATCCGCCTGCCTCTGCCTCCCAAGTGCTGGGATTAAAGGTGTGTGCCACCACTACCCTTCATGGCTTTGGAACCTTACCTCCACATCCCAAGTGCTGGAATTACAGGCTTCACACCACCATTCACAGCTGGACCAAGTTTGGTAAAAACAGGTCCTAGGTAATTCTGGCAGTATATAATACTATATTCATATATAATCATATATTATATATAATAGTATATATATATTCATATATAATCCCCCCCCCGCCCTCTGGCCCCCGGCAGTAGTTTCTTTAACAGCTGGACTCAGTGTCAAGACTGAGGAGGTAAGGACTTGAGATAGGACTTTTGTGAGGACTGATGGTGAGAAAGAAAAGGGCAGAAAGAGAAACATGAAGATGATGCTGTTCTTTGGGCCACAGAGAGGTTTATAGTCAGACTCACGACAGGTTTGTACAGGCAGCCACATTACAACAGGCAAGCATGAAGAGGTATTGCATGCTGGATCCTAGTAGCAGTAGGACATGGGTATGTCTAAAAGTATTGCTCTCCTGGGCAGGGGATGAGACTAATATTAGACAAAGGGAATACTTGTATGCTAAGAACTTTTGTGGCAGTGTCTCATGGGGACAGTAAAACAGAGATACTACCATCCCACTTTGTAGATGAAGAAATATGCTCTTTAAAGTTAAATAATTTGCTTAGTGCTATAAGGCTAGATAGATGTCTGAACATGAATTATATCAAATTTGCTTGCCAGGAGTGGTAACACCTGCCTTTGGAGGTCCTATGGATGTAGAGGCAAGTGGACTCTGTGAATTTAAGGCCATCCTGGTATACATAGTGAGTAACAGGCCAGCCAGGGCTACACAGACCTTGTCTCAAAATGGACAGAGGGAGGCATTGGGGGGCAAGTGGTATGAGAAAGGGATAGATGGGAAAGAGAGGGGTAGGAGGGAGATGAGGGGAACATCTGAAGAAAGACCTAAAGACACACACGCCTATAGAGAGATCTAAAGACACATGCCAGAGAGTGAGGCAAATGCTCCCCATGTGCAGAGTCTATAAAGGAAGCTTAAGTTGCTTGGAGAAACAAGAACTTAGTACAAAGATACAGATCTTGGACAGCCAAAGAGAAAAACTTGCTAGAAATGAAGGTTTGGGCTTCCAAGAGGGCTGACAGTGAGGTAACTGTGAATGTAGATTAGGTAGCATCTACCTGGGAAGATGTGGAGAGTACTCTGTCCAAAGTGGGTTCTCCCAATACCTGGGAACCCAGATAGGCAGCCTGAGGTTACGGCATTCTAATCCCACAAGGAGGAGTGTATCCCACGAAGATCTACATATGGTGAAAGATGAATCCCTTACATTGTATCAAAGACTGCATGTGTGGTGTTGACAGAGTTTCACAGGAAAAGTGCTGCCCTGCCGTAGAACTTACAACCTGAATGTAATAACAGGGTCCCCTACCACTCCTGCTCACACCATTCCATGCCCTGCACAGCCACATTCCTCAGTGGGAATCAGCTTCTCCAGTGAGGCTTTACCTGGATCTTTTCTTGGCGACGCTGCTGCTCGGCTATCTTCCTTGCTAGAGCCAGCTTCTTGGCTCGAAGTTCCCTGATGTCATCCTCACCCCCACTGCCTTCAGCCTCTGAATCTTCCTCAAAGTCTTCAATCACCACATCTTCTTCCTTGGGGTAAAGACATAGACAAGGAGAACGAAGAGCTCATGAGCCATGAGATTTAGCAGATTCACTCTCTGTCATTTAGCTCCCTACCCCATGGGGGGAGCATTCTTTGCCAAGGGTTCCCTGGAGTGTGTTGGTAGGAGTAGTGATTCTTCCCCCGAAACTGTACCTACATGCTAGAGCTTTTCTTACACACTCATACCTATGTTACTCATAATCAATATATTCACTTGCATGCTTGTGTTCACAGTCCTTGTTCTCCCTTGCACACATTCAACATAAACTTTGGACTTGGTTTCATTTTGAAATTACAAATGATTCAAAGAGTAAACAATAGAGAAAGTTGAACTGCTCAATTTAAATCTAATTCGTGCTAATAATTTGATAGGAATCAACTCTGCAACATCTGGGAGTTAAGCAAGGAAGTTCCCTTGCCCCAGACAGTATCAAGAGCAGATGCTGCAGCTCTATCGACCTTGCCCTGATTTCCTTTTAAGACGACAGCCTGGTAGTGCAGGGGCTTCTGGGCCCCATTAAAAAATTCACATAACATGGCCTTGCTCAGCTGCCCTCCAAGGGCTTAGGCAGAGTAAGTAGGAGGTGGCTGGCTAGCTTAAGGAGCCTTCTTGCCAGGCTGATGGAGCGAGCCTTCCCCAGGGATGGCACTTCCTCCCTTGCAGACTTGGTTCTCAGCAGCCCCTGCTCCCCGGGTGGTCCTAGCTCCACTCCTCACTCGCTCACTTTTGGCCTTGGTCAGGAGAGAACATACAGCTGCCCGAGGGGATGGGGCTACAAGAGGAACAGAGGGAGTGATTCAACAGGAGAAGGAAGATTCTTGTAATTCTAACAGAATGATGACTACATTGACAGCTACTAGCTACTCAGTGCTTTTTATGGGCTGTGTACCCAGCTATGTGTTTTTCATACGTTAACTCTTTTAATTCTCACAATGGCCTGCACAATAGCTATTACCATCTGCACTTTATAAATAAGAAGTTTAGAATAAAATAGCCTGTCAGAGAGTCAGAGAGGTGGCAGGAAGCAGAGCAGGGATTCAAATTCAAGTGAGTCTGACTCCCATGTCTGCTCTTACCAATCACAATACACAAACCTGCAGGGCTGGAGTTCTGAATTGAGAGAGCAAGCTCAGATACAGCCCTTGGTGGCTCAGCTTTGTCAGGCCTGGCCCTATTTAGATAGACTGGGATTCTCTTGGTGAGGAGTAGTTAACAAGTGTAGATAAGCTGATGAGGACATCTAAGGAAGGTGGGTGGTTTGGCAGTATCCCCAAGAACTACAAATTTGTCCTGTTACAAAGGAAGGTGTCCAATGACATCCCACCTCCCATGTCCACCACCACCCATACCTCTTCCAACTAGTCTTGGGAGATGGTAAGGATAAAATCTTGAAAATCTTTAACTGTCCTGAGAGGTCTGAGGGGGTTTAGGGTGCTGTCCACAAGCACCACTTACTTATCAACACCTGGCTATGAAGAGGAGGCTATGAAGAGGAAGACTATTTCACATTTATTTCCTTGCTCACAGGGTTAACCTGGACAAGAACAAGTGCAACAAGATGCCTGTTGGCTCACGGAGGAAGAGTGTTCTTGCTTACTCTAACCAGGGATGAACAGTTAATTTAGCACTGGTTTGGAGTGAACAGGACTGAGGTCAAAGGAGGGTCAGAGAAGCTTGTCTGAGGTTTGCTCAGCTCTCATAACAAACAAGGAAGTGCAGGGTTATGAAATTACACAGAACAGGGTAAGTAGGATTTCCCAGGGACCACTAACATAAAGGAACCCAGGAGACTCGTGGGAAAAGGAAGAAGTGGGCAGCCTGGTGTAGGTCACGAACCTTTCTCTGGTCAGTAAGCCTCAGAAGGAGAGTCGTGTAGTACAAGTAGATCAGGCAGCAGAGGTACCTGATCCAGTACCTGTGGGCACTCCTTCTAGGGTTGGAGGAGAACCTCTTTGCCTAGCGAGGCTTGTGCTGCCAGTCTTAGATGTTCAGAGGCATCTCTTATAGTCATGCTGGAGAGCTGCCTTTGCTTATTCTCCACTGCCTAGTTTTTTTAGCCTTTTAGTATGGGAGAGATAAAGGAGAGAAGTATGGACATCATGGGCCTGTGTTTCCCACACTGTGTCTAGAGCTGCAGGGCCACTGTTCTGCTTGCTAAAGTTGGACACCCCAATGGCTCTGGTAACTCCACTCTCTCCTCCCATGCTGACAGCTCATTCTTTCCCTTTATTCTCTGCCCAGGTTTCATCTAGAGAGTCTGGAATCGTGGGCTTAGCTATAGCCCTGGAACCACCTCTGTTCTGGAAGCTAAACCCTGTGTCATCAGGCATGGGGTGGAGTTCTCCAGCTATCCTAATGAAGTCAGGCCAAGACTGCTTCTCTGAAGACTCTGTTCCAAAGGTGGCCACTCTATCACTGCCTGAGATCCTAAACGACAGCTTCCAGCTGACATCTGGCTTCCTTGGCCTGTTGCTGATTTCAACCCTGTACCCCGCCCTGCTCCACCGGGCGCTTGAGACTGCTGCGGGCCAAATGACTGTGTTGGCCTATGGGTGACCTGGCCTCTGGCTAGAATTGCTTCCGTCCCTTCCCTCCATCCTATGTTTCTTTTTACCTAAGACCCTCGTCTTTAATATTATGGGGTAAAGAGAAGAAAAGAGCCAACCTTCAGGCAAAAGTGAGATGTGTATACTCCCACAGAGTTCCCCACACCCAGATAAACAGCAAGGAGGCTGCCAGTGATGCTAAATGTACACACGCTCCATCTCTACCACAGTCACACAGACTCCCAGTCCACAGACCTCAGGAGTGTGTGTAGATAGCAATGTTCATTTCCACTGACAAACTGGGTACATACACACAACCATCAGAGATCATCCCAGAAAGACATAGATGCACACAAGGGGAAATGCCAAGGAGGGCTGCAGGGGTATAAGGGTGGGTACATAGGCAAACATGTGCCCACACGCATGTGCGTGGACACACACACACACACTCGAAATGGAGGGAGAGAAGGAGGGGGAGAGGGAGAGAGAGAGAGAGAGACAGAAACAGAGACAGAGACAGAGAGAGACTGGAGTGAAGCAAGGGCTACAGGAACAATCAAGGGCAAACAAACAAGAGGAGAATTCCTTAATCACATCAGGATGTGCAGGAGGGAGGGAGGGAGTAAGAGACAGAGCAGGCTGGGGGAGGGGTGATTTTCCATACGGGGCCAGCAATGTCAGCTCTTCCTGTACGTGAGCGAGCCGGAGGCTGGAGTTTAGGCCTGTGCTGTGCTGAGCCTCGCACATCTATAAACTTGATCCTCAGCCTGAACCCTAACACCCATCTCTCGACTCTCTTTCCTAGGCCTCCAGAGCTGAACATTATTAAACTCTTTCCTCCAATGCAACATTAAAAAGAAGCATCTGGAACTCGTAGATGGAGGCATTGGGGTGGACTGGCAGTAAGGGGCACCAGCAGAGTGCACTCTTGAGAGGCTGGCTGTCACCTCAATAGACAGTGAACTGAGAGGTCATAGATAACCTCAAGGAGAAGACTCAGCCTGGGCATCAGGGCCCGGGGGAAGGGAGCCTTCCCTCTGCCATAGCAGGCTCTTCCCGCATAGTACCTCATCTTCCAGTTGTTTTCCCTCTTGGCTTCCCATTTCCTTTCCCATGGTGTCTGGGACGGGTGCCACTGACACATATTTTCCACCCTTGAATGCCAGCAGAGGCTCTTCTTGTCCACAAAGGGCTTCCAGAAAATACTTCAGCACTGTGACCCTTTTGCAGTCAGCTGCAATAACCTACAGGGCGAGAGGGAGAGAAGAAAAACAGCATTTTCTGAGAGGGAGGATGAAGATGAGAGACACTGTTAGCTGCAGGGGACATGAGAATTGTGTCAAAGTTACTGGGGAGGGAGGTAGTATGAGCAACAAGAGCGTGGACGGAGGAAAGCAAGGACCAAGGTCTTCTGGAGGAAGGAAGTCACCAGGGCCTTGCTTTAGGTCATCCCTGGGGCAGCAGACAACCTCAGGACCAATGGCAGGTGCCCTCAGGGCTTGTGCTTTTCTTTTATTAAAGTCCTATTATTAAAAACAAAAACCAGAAAATAATTTCTTCTAAGTTTGGAATAAAAGTAACAGTACGAGTAATGTATTGCAGCAGGCTGGCTGCCATAAAACACTGCTTTCTACCCCTGGCACCCCTGGCACCTCGTACCTAGACTCCCTCCAGGGCAGTCTGCAGACTGAAAGATAAGCTTTCTTGACTGCTTCATTTTAGCCAAGTCATTCTGAACTTATCTGGATGGTTTCTGCCTCACCTGAGAACTGGGCAGAAAATTATCAGGCCGAGAGGATGGGGCAGAGCAGGCGAGTTCACCAAAGCTCTGTCCTCCATGGTTCACACTAGTTGCTCCCATGTTGCTATACAGGCACGTATACAGTGCTGATTTAGCTGTTATGTGAAGTATTATCCTGATCAGCTGTCAAGTTTGTCAGGGTCTCAAATGATGTGTCTGGCCACCTAGACTGGAATCCTCTCTACAAGACCACATATGCATGCCTTCCTTCACTACTATCTGTGTCTGTGTCCTTTGCATTGTCATCTTCCTTGCTATCTGGTACCCTTCTCTTATTTGTTGGCTTCTAGGGCCCTAGCATGCCTACTGACTGGATGATCACCAAAGAGGAGGTCCCTGCTTGATGTGCATCTAAGAAGCAGAGGGCATTTCTATACCATATTGTCCAGATATGACGCAGGGCAGCCTTTTCACCATCAGTGATTCTAGGACATGCAAAATGACCAAGACCCATTTTAAAATTTTATTTTATGTGCATGGGTCTCTTGCCTGCATGTATGTTTGTGCACCATAAAGGAATGCAGAACATGTTATTAGATCCCCAGAACTGGAGTTACAGATGGTTGTGAGCCACACTATGGGTGCTGGGAATGGAACCCAGGTCCCCTGGAAGAGCAGTCAGTGCTCTTACCTGATAAGTCCTATCTCTAGCCCTACCCCACCACCTCCAGAGCCAATTTTCAGCCTGATTTCTGACTGTGAAGGACAGGTGAAAGACTGATGTGGATGCTGGACTGTCGGGGCTCATCAATCTATTGTTGCACAGCTAACTCCTCCATGCAGAAGGCAAGCCCTCTAGTGCCAAAGATCACATCTTGTATTTCCCTAGCAAGGTGCTGTAAGAATAAAGTGGCACGCAACATGAAAAAGACTGGTAGGTGGAGAGAAACTCACTAGGACCACAGGAACAGGTGATAAAAGATGATCCATGTCTTCTAAGACAAGGTGGAATGAGTCACCACTCTGCCAGGTGGCTGGCCAGGGAGAGCACATGCACACCAGTCATCTGTGCCACAATTCCATTCTCTGCCATCTTTTCCCCTGCCCAGATGGTACTTACCTATGACTATTGCCACCAGAAGGTAAAGTATTAGGCTAAGTATCTGACCACTTCCATCTAAGAGGCTTCCCTGAAGAGGTTTAGAGCCTCTTGAGCTTAAGGGGGCTGATCTTGGATACCTCCCTGAAGGGGTAAGGATGGTCCTGCCTTGGGTCAGGGCAGGTAGCCTTGGTTCCCATCCTGTGTATTCGAGCATGTGATGAGGAAGGCTAGAAATACAGAAGCAGGGGCTAAAAGGCATTAAAGAACAGAGCTGAAATGAGTAATAGCCTGGCAGACAGCACGCACAGTGGCCTCCCTGCATCCCCAGTCTCTCACTTGCAGAGGAAACTTCTGCATTTCCACAAGACTGCCAGTTTCCTCTCTGTGGTCTAATTTTAACCACCTTGTCGTTACAGTGTGTGTCAGCCACCTGACCCCACTATGACCTCTGACCTTATGCCCCAGCTACTGCTCGAACTATAGAGAATTATGTAATGGATCCAGGACTTTCCTTTTTGGCATGAGACTGCTGCCACTGAATGGGTTGGGGGAGGAGGAAAAGGAATGAGGAGAGGAGAGGAGTTTGCAATCATCCTTCGCTCACCTGGATGGTGAAAGGGCTACAGGAGCCTCAGTTCAATCTGTAGCAGAAACCTGCCCAGAAGACAGTGTCTCATGGTTATAAGCTTGGGCAAGTGGGAAGAAACACTATTGTCATTAAGGCAGGCCCTGGGTGAGTACATGGCTCAGGAAGCAGTGTGATTCCTGGCCAAGAGGGAGAAAGGCCACATGTGTGGACGTGGGACTCCTGGAGGTGGGGATTTCCAGGGCACAGCAGGAGCCTGGGGTGCAGACATCCTGAGCCGGCCTGCAGCACATCCTTAGAGGCTCAGTGGGAACTATCATGAAGAAAGACAAGTGAAAAGGAACCCCCACCCTGCTCCAGTTTTCATTTCCACACCTTCCATACCATTTAGAATGAACCTAGTTTCCCTGAGAGTTTTGTCTGCTATGGTCATTCATCCTTGCCTTAAAGGAGGAATGACACTTACTGTGATTGGTAAAAGAGTTCTGCTTCACCTGGGTATTTAAGAGGTCCAAAAAAAGATTCGGTCTACACAGAGACAATTCACCCAGGTTTTGGAAGAATGTCTTTTCTTCATTGTACTTCAAGCAGCAGGGAACTTCAACAACTATGGTTGGATGCAGTATTCTTAGGTTTCTAAAATACAGTGTGTCAGTGAGAAATGAATTCAAGTATTTAGTAAACTGAGACTATGACAGGCATAATGTCTAGGACTTGTCCAAAGACACATGGAAGCCTGTTTCAGCCTGTTGGGCTGGTTGTGAGAATATTCTGCCATGACGTGAAAGGAATAAGAGTGTGGAGAGAAAAACACAGCTCCCTTGACTCTGGAGTCTACAGGAGGCTCTTGGGAATACTCTCCCATACAAAGGAGTTCTAGTAGTTGAGTCAGAGAGGAATAAAACATCAGTTTAATATGGTAAGAGATATATCAAGATGGAGAAAGACAGGCTACAGATACGGCTCAGCAGTTAAGAGCACTGACTGCTCTTCCAGAGGTCCTGAGTTCAATTCCTAGCAACCACATGGTGGCTCACAACCATCTGTAATGGGATCTGATGCTCTCTTCTGGTGTGTCTGAAGAGAGCTACATTGTATTCATCATGTATATATGAGTATATATAGTTTCTGGGGTTAAAGGGTAAAGGGGTTATAGGTTCTCCGGAAAGGAGAGAGTACCTATAAAATCTATGATGTAATCTCCACAGTAACCCCCTCACAACCATATTTTTCCATTCTGTATCAATTTCTAAGACAGTGGATGTAAATGGTATACCCACTGCCTTTAGGGCAAACTCTCCTTGTTTCTGAGTAGAAGGCTGGGCATGACCCAGTCCCTTTGGGTTGTTACAACAGGGCTGAACTGGGGCTGAGAATGGGTGAAGGGCTGCTAGACTTGAAGGACTAGAAGGACACTAGAGTGTCCTGGGAACCTTCTCAGTATGCCTTTGCAGCCACAGTCCTTGCCCTGGAGGATACAGTGTAGCTGCCTACCAAGAACTCCAGAGTTAATGAACAAAATGTCTCACATGAATCATTCCCTCTTTCAATAAAAAAGTGGGATTTGATCAGGGAAGAGCTGAAAGAAAAGCACACTAAGAAAGCCCCATTCTGTCTCCTCCCCATCAGCAGCAGGAACCAAAACCCTAAGCTTCAGGGCTTGAGCTATCTATCAGCTCCTCAGATCCACACACAGAACCAAGTAGAAAGGAAAACTGAAAGCTCAGTGTGGAGAGGTGATCTGTGCCTGTTCTGTTCTGTTCCAGCTGGGTTCCTTAAGGAGAGAGAGGTGAGCAGGTAATGAGGTAGGGACAGGGGCTAAGAGGCAGGTTCTGAAAAAAGCAGGAGAAACCTTTAGACCAACATAGGAGGTTGGTCTACTGTCTGGCTTATTTTAGGTAAGGAGGTAGACAATCAAGAATGGTGAAAACTGAGCAGAGGCCAACACAGGAACAGAAAAGATGATGCTACTTTATAGAAGGTGGGGACAGCAAGAGAGAAAGGGAACCAAGCACCAGGCATCACATACTGATGTAAGCTGAGTTCCAAGATGCAACATATCACAGCAGCCCTGGGGGAGAGAGAGAACCTGGATCAGCCAGGAAACAGGAGGAAGGGTTGGAATGCTGACAGGCCTCTAGAGCAAACTCCCGAAGAAGAGGTTTAGTGCTCAGGATAGCTAGTTACTTTGCAACATTTCTTTCACTAAACTTTTGGTTTAGGGGAATCAGAATTTGCACCACAAGCTAGTTCACCCCCCACCCCCACACTGTCGGTCTTAAAAGTCCAGCTTGCTACTGCTCCTCTGGTTAAAAAGAGAAAAAGTAATCACATGGGTTTCCCCTACAAACTCAAGTTTACAGGTTGTTTTTCTTGTTTCTCTAAATGGAGCCAATTATTCTCACATTTGTTGAAACCTTCAATCAAGCTTTATAGCTTGTTAATTTTACAAAATGTCCTTAGAGTAAATAAGATGCAGACAGGAAAAGTGAAGTCTTGCTGAGATTATTAAGAAACCTTAAAATAGACTCCAAACCTACCACCAAGGCTGGTAAAATATAGGCTGCTTGGCTGGCTTCTGAGGTCAATTTGCAATGGGTTAATTATCATCTTTAATGAGCCAAGCCTACAGGATTGGCTACAAGAAAATGAACTCACACTAATGTGTTTTCACAAAGCAGGGACTGTAGCGATGTGGAACTCACCCTCACTAGAGACAAAGGGTGGAAAGCACACTTCTGTAGCAGCCAAGGGTGGGTCAGCTTGAGAAGGGGTCTGCCAATGAAAATTCAGACTCAAGAAATGAAGAATCCCA